CTTATTTATAACAAATATATATTAAAATTAGCACAGATAGAAAATCCACTTTTGAGTATATAATTTGTTAAAAAATATTACTTCACATGGTAATTTTTATGTATAATTTCATATATTGGTAAAATTTAAAACTACTTTTCACTTCAGAATTTTTCTATCTTAAGTTTGGGGTAATGGGTAGATGGGGCTGATTGAAAAGGGCTAATGGCCCCAACATTAAGTAGATTTCTTTTCTCATTCAGAGGCCTTAATTGATATTTTATAAATAAATGACAATTTTTATTTTTAAACTTTTCTATTGTTTTTTTGGAAAGTATCCCTTAATTTAATGGCACATTCATTCAAATAGTTTTTATCCCAAGTGAGAATTATAGAAAAATAAGCTACACAATTGAGATTAATTCTGAGGCAATTCATTGAGGCAGCTCTATTATAAAACATTACTTGATAAATAATTATTTTTGTAAATAAATAAGTTGAGTTATTTATTCTTGGTCTTTTTGCTTGGATATAATTTTAAGATCTCAGTGTTAAAGACATTTACTTTGTTTTCCATCCTGTACTTTTTTTGTTGTGAGACAGAACTTTAAATTTATGTCTGAGAGTATGTACTGCTTAGGAGCCTATTTTATCAATAAAGGTGAGTGATTAAAATTGATACCGTCTCCTAATTGAAAATAGTGCTTACATTTATTCTTACATATAGTTTATTTTTAAGGTCTTTTGTCTCTTCTTACCATAAAACTAGTACTTAGCAACATCTATCTGTATTTCTTCGGAATTGACCAGCAACTTCTTAGTACTGATCCTGGAAACCTTATCATCTGTAATGGGTTAAATAGTGTCTGTCCAGAACGTAAGTCCAAATCCTAACCTGCTGTATCTGGGAATGTAATCGTATTTCAAAATAAGGGTCTTTACAGATGTAATTAAGTATGAGGTTAAGATCACCCTGGCTTTAGGGTGGGCCCTAAATCCAATGACTAGTGTGCCTATAGTAAGATTTGAAACACAGACTTAGAAGACCACGTGAAGACAGAGGCAGCGTTATGCAAACCAAGGAACCCCCAGGATTGCTAACAACCACTGGAGCTAGGAGAGAGGCATGGAATGGATTCTCCCTCAGCCTCCAGAAAGGACCAGTCCTGCTTGATTTCAGACTTCTGCCCTCTAGAACTGTGAGAAAATAAATTCCTGTTGTTTTAATCCACCCAGGCTGTGTAATTTGTTACAGCAACCCTAGGAAACTAATGTAGCATCTATTATTTATCATCCATCAACTATATTTTATGTAAGGAATACATGTCTAAGAAGCCAATTATATACAACCTCACAGGTAAAATACTTTCTGCTCATATTTATACTCTTTGATATTCTTTATTATTAAGGTGACTTCTGAAATTTTATATTTCTAAACTGCTTTGATGAATAATGGAAGATCACAGGGTGGCCACTACTACCCCTGTTTCTGATTCACAGTGAAATATTGATGGAGACCGTTTCAAATTATAATTTGAGGGGACATTTCCCTTTTACCTCATTGGCTGGTCCTTCTCAGTCTCCTTTATTCCTCTCTTCTCTCTGGCCTCTCAGCAGTAGAGAGCCAGCAGCCTCAGTCCTTACTCCTACAATGGAGCTCTCCCCATTTCTTTGGTGATCTCACCCAGTCTCATGTCTTTAAATATTAAGGTTATTAAGTTTGTAATGTCCAATTTCCTTAAGTACTAAATTTGGCAATTTATATCTCTGACATTTCACTTTGACACTTCTTGGTTTCTTTTGTTTTTTTTTATGTTGTGAAGGTACATCCTCATTCTTTCAGACACACATTTTGGCTTGTGATTATCTTTCAAATTTTTTTTAGAGCAATTTTTGTGAAACCATGGATAAGTCAAAAATTCGTGTTATTTTCAAATATGAGTTCTGTCATAGAACCAATACAATGCAGACAGCTCGAAATATCAACGAAGTGTTTGGGAAGGATATGGCTAATGAATACACAGGACGCTAATGGTTTGAGAAGTTCCATTCTGGTGATTTTGAATCTTGAAAATGAGGCATGTGGGTAACCTGAGACCAAGGTCAACTCAATGATGAGTTGAAAGCTGCAGTGGAAGCGAATCCATCTTAATCTAGATATGAATTAGCAGCAAGGTTTGACGTTACTGTTCCAACAATATTGGACCATTTGAAACAAATCAGCAAGGTGAAGAAGTTGGATTAGATGGGTTCCGCATGAATTAAATGAGCATCAGAAGAGAAATCATCTTGAAGCTTGCCTTTCTTTGCTATCACAACATAAAAGTGAACCATTTCTGCACTGTATTGTTACATGTGATCAAAAATGGATTCTTTTTGATAGTCACAAGCATTGGGCACAATGGAAAGATGAATGCCAAAATACAGTCCAAAACCAAATATTCATCCAAAAAAGCTAATGGTGTTTGGTGGTCCAGCGCTGGTATTATATACTACAGCTTTATGGAAAACTTGGTAAATTGATTACAGCATATGTCTACTGTAATTAATTGGATGAAATGATGAAGATACTTGCAGCCGAGATTGGTCAATAGAGACAGGCCAATCCTCTTGCAAGACCACATGTCACAAAAAACAATGTTCCTCAAACTACAGAAGCTGGACTTGGAAATTCTGTCATCTACCATATTCACCAGGCCTCACACCAACTGACTACCATTTCTTCCAGGATTTGGACCACTTCTTGAAAGGAAATATATTCAATTCTCAACAAGTTGTAGAAAATACCTTTCATTATTTCATCACCACTTGCTCTCCAGGCTTCTTCGCTGCTGGCATAAGCAAGGTACAGCAAAGATGGCAAAACTGTGTTGATAGTTTATGCAAATACTTTGATTAATTGTACTGCTTCTTGTTTGATATATAACAAACTAAACTTTTGATTCAAAATCAGACTTTTCATATTTAATGACCTAATAGCACATGTATGCTGGATGATTCCCAAATTTACAGTTCTTGTAAACCTCTCAATTCCAGACTCATGCAACTGTGACTGTCAAAGAGACATTTCAGGCTTAAGGTGTCCAAAGGCCAGACTCCTAAACAGGCTTTTGTTTATGGTTTGGCTACTCCTACATACCTCCAAGTTTCAGCTTAAATGTCACTTCCTCAAGGAATTCTTCCCTGGCATCCCAGATTCTACTCCCACCCTATTATAATTTTCATTGCATATTATACCTCTTTTGTGTAACTAGTGTCTGTTTGACTCATTACTCTCTAATCCCTCAGATTGAAGACCATGCCTTCATTGTCACCTTCCTAGTACCTAAGGCAATGCCTGCCACATAAGAACTTAAATATTTATTGAATGAGTAAAGGTGATATCCGAGTCAAAAACTAGTTTTCATTGTTTGTTTTTTTTAATTTTGCCTCTTGTACTGATATAGCTTGGTCTAGACCTGCCAATCTCCCCAATGTAATGATTACCTGGTAGTCCGTGAATAAGTCCAGATTTTCCACTAACTTGAACCTTTCTTTATGTCAATCTCATAAAGAGTGGTCCCTGAAAATACAGTAGCCAAATGCCAATAGGCATTTCAATTAACAATCAAGGTAAAAAGGATCTGCAAAGTGTATTACTTTGCTAGGGCTGCCGTAACAAAATACCACAGGCTGGGGGGCTTAAATAACAGAAGTGATTTTCTCAGTTCTTGGGGCTGGTCATCCATGATCAGGGTGCCAGGAGGGCTGGTTTCCTCTGAGACTTCTTGCTGCCTCTTCAAATGGTCCTTCCTCCGTGAGCACAAGCCCCTGGTGTTTCCCTGTATGTCTTCTCTTCCTCTATAAGGGCACCCAGTTAGATTGGACTAGGGTTTACCCTAATGGCTGCAATTTAAATCTCTTTAAAGGCCCTATTTCCAAACACAGTCACATTCCAAGGTGTCAGGGATTAGGGCTTAAATTTATTGATTTGGAGTGGGGGGGACACAGTTCAGTCTATAACAAAGGGAAACACAGGTAGCTGCCCTCCCAACAAGACTGAGCCCCAGGGCAAGGCCTAGTTGTCAAGAAATTAGACCCAAGAACTGTGGGTTTTAATGAATGTTACTAACAAGTATTAAGTACATCATCAAGGAGAAGCTTATACCAAAAAGATCTATACAAATGCTGCTGTAGAGATATTTATGGATAGATTATGTACCAGTAATTTAAAAGAAATAATGGCCGGTGACCTGAATTAACTTGGAAAAACTTGTTTTCACTGTGTAAAATTAATAATTTCCAAAAGGAGAGATCGTAGCAATAAATATTAACATTAGGAACACCTTATCAATTTGCAGAAGAAAATTTAAAATAATCAGTTACATCTTCATCGTGACAAGGCTGTAAGCACATGTGCACAGGGAGTCAGGCATCTCAGTTTGGGTCTGGGCGTTGTTATTAGCTAACTCTATGACTTCATATAATTAACTCCTTGGTCAAGAATTATCTTAGCTGTCATATAAGAGGTCAGAGAGCGTGACATCTAACGTCCTTTCCAGGACTAATATTCTAGCAATTTCTATGTTAGAATCAGTTTTTTATTCCACCGGCTATTGAAAACTCAATTGACCTATAGTAATATTTAGCTAGTGTAGTTTGGCAACCTGGTAGCTAACCTATAACAGGCTAATCAGAATTTTCTGAAAACATTTAAAGAATAGTTTAACAGGTTTCCCCATGATACTGCTAGTTTTCTTCAGTTTAACACACCTGAAGTGCTAATAACACCAACTCAAATTAATCCACTAGAAGGAATCAGCTTTCCTTCTAAGAAAGAATATAAATGTTAGCACATGGCCCCAGATTTCTTCATTTCCTGTAATTTTAGTTATCTTTAACTGATTTTTAAAAAAATGAAATTGTTCAGATTAAATAATTATTTTTATAGCTATGAAACTGTTCTCATGTCTTATTGCTATGGTACAAATAGAATCAGTGAAAAGTTTTATAAAAATATTATAATAATGAGGCTTTTTAGCTTTTTTCCAAAATAGGTATTTATTATAAAAACCATACAAACTGGCTTTTTATCACAAATGATCATGAAAAAGTTTAAACAGTTTTTTTGTATCTTTCCTCCAAAAAGGTGTGTTCTCCCTTTACAGTCTTCACTGGCAGTGCATTCTGATGGTACAGAAAATAACTCACAAACATCCCACAGAACTTTGTTAGAATGTACAAAGGTACAGCAGAAGCCAGAGTCTCTACAGCAAATTATAAAAAAACATTTTTTCATCAAGTTTAAGTGTTACTGAAGTTATAGACAGTAAAGATAACAGAATAAATTGTAAATTGACACCTGCATTGAATTTTTCAAAGCAAAAATGATTTGTTTTCTATTTTTAAATTTTGTTTTATCCTGCCCAGAACACTTTTCAAAGTTAAAGATTTTCCCAATTACCTGAAATATCAAAAATCTACTGTACTTTGAGAAAACTCTAACAAGCAGCATCATTTAAATAGTGGTTAACTCACAAATATGTGTGCAACAACCATCTCACCAATCTTAATATCACTCAGGCCTGTCCGAGTCACCAGCTCACAATTCAGCACCCTGACAGCTGATTGAGAAAAGGCCATGACCAGTAGGTATGCAGCCCGGGGCAACCAGGTGCTTTCTTATAATGAAACAAGGGTGTCAAAACTGAGGGGATGCCCCTCATGGAATCCAAGGGCCTAATTAAAAGCAGCACACTAAACACCTGAATCCTTTTTGACACAACCAGGTGCTTTCTTATAGTGAAACAAGGGTGTCAAAACTGAGGGGATGCCCCTCATGGAATCCAAGGGCCTAATTAAAAGCAGCACACTAAACACCTGAATCCTTTTTGACACCTTCCTCGCCACTTTAAAACATAGATGGCACAAAAGCTTCACACTGAAATTACTAAAAATTGCATTTTACCCCCATGCTAACAGCTAATTTAGCAGAAAGAATGAACTATGAAATGCAAAATTTTTCAAGGTTTCCTTGTTAACAGCATATAGATTAAGGTAGGGGTCAACTTGTTTCCTAAAAAACAAACATAATCTATATGTCATCTAATGCAATTTGAAGATCACCTGTCAACACTATTTTAAAAGGCCTTGAAAGAAAGAGTGCCATTATTTTGGAGTATAAATAAATCATCCACATAAAAGTTCTATTTATCTATATAAATTGAACTATCTTCAAATAACTTAGCTATTTAAATCACCATTTTAAGCAATAAAAGACAAAAACAAAGGGAACCTACTGAATTGTACACTTAAAAATGAATAAGATGGTAAATTTTTATGTGTATTTTGTCACAATTAAAAATTTTTAAAATACTGAAACCCACAAAAAACGGTATGCCTATTTGATAATGTATGGTATTAAGACAGACATGCCACTAAGTAATCAGACTGCTTTTAGTAAGAAAATAAGTTACTTCTCTTTTCGTATTCTGAAGTTTAAATGCCCAGTATCAAATCCCTAAATCTCCAAACATGGTGGCAAATAAAGATTCAGTATAACACTTAAATAAACCCATCCCTCTCCATGTTCAGACAGAAATCAGGTGAGAGATTTGTTCAAGGAGTTATAAAAAGAAACACTAGGGCTTTGCAAGAGAATCAATCACTGTTTTTTAATATTTTTAGTGTCTCTATTTAATGGAATAAGTTGATCATATATTTGTAAACCAAAATGTTTAATTTCTCAAGTATTTGGAGATAAGGGAAAGCCTCCCTACCACCAAATTTTGGGTCATGTTTCTCATTCTCTCTCTTAAAATCATCCTAATTCTCTAGCATACCCTTAACCATCTATCATTAAAGACACCATAATATCATGCAAAGCACAGATATATGCCTGATCTCTTCTTAGACGGAAGCAGCCTGGGCATAAACACGAAAGCAGAGGCACACAGACCAAGTTCCTGGGCATCTACATAAGCAGAGGTGTTCTCTCTCCAGCTGGCTGTTCCTTCTGGAAGAGCTCTTTGATCTGGGCTAATCGGCCATAGAGCCTCTCTCTCAATGGAGGAATGTGGTAGCTGGGGTCCAGAATGTTGGTAACTCTGCGCTCTCTTTCTTGCTTCCATAACTTGTACGGGTGGGGAGGAAAGAAAGGTCGCCCTCTTTCTCTTCGAATCTGTAATGTAATTCCACTTACAGCCAGCATCCCCCATACTGCCAGGATAATAAAGTCTAAAAAAAAAAAAAAAAAAAAACAGTAGAAAAGCACAGTTTGAACTCTAGTATTTTCAAACCTAATATATAATAACACAACCCTTCATAGACTAAATCTGTATCTTCCTTTTTAATAGACTATCTGGGAAGTTAGTCCAAACATACATGTATTTCCTCACCTACAAACCAAGGAATCAGTGGGGAAGCTGCAGTCTTTTGAAGCTAGAAATTTTCTATTACAGGCATCTTAAAAATGTCCAAACAGGTTGTAAAAGAATTGGTGGTTTGGATCCTTAGCATTCCAACATTATGTGACCAGTGCCTGCAGGCACAGTTGTATGTTTTTCCAGAGGAGGGTTGGAGGAAGAAGGTGGTGATCTAGTTATACTTTACATGTGTACATCACGGAACATTAGATACCACTATGTTTGTTTCTTTCCTACTCCACTCTATACGGGACCCTACTTCACTCATACAGAGTAGGTAGAGGAATGGATGAAAAGATTCAATAAATCATACTGAGCTTCTAGTAAAAGGCTTGGCAAAATACTGTCTTGTACTTAAAACTTCCAAGTCATATGGATTTCAAAGTCTTTACCATCAACTTCGTATCCAAAGGGAAAGCTCTGAATGGTGGTGGGAAAGATTTGCCCTAAAAATTTTATAATAATCACAAATATATGACATTATCTTCAATTCTAAGACTTGCTTTTCTACCCTTCACATTTTAATATTTCTGAAATCAACAAATCTTACAATCTTTGTGAACATTTAATGTGGTAGTCATTTTTTTCTTCAAAAACTTAGTAGGAAATCTCTCCATTATTACAATTGAAGAAATGACATTTACTAATTGAAAACCACTTTCACTTCCAACTACCAAACTGCATGCTTAATCAGAGGAGGGAAACAAGGGAATAACTTAAAAATTAAGTCAGGTTGTCATTCTCATCCCTCATCCCACCCCCACTTGGTAAGGTGTCAAACATCCTTACATTTTTCTCCCAACTGAGAAATAATCCTGGCTTAGAAATTTCTTAACAAAATTCATTTAGTAGGTTTTTAGAAGTATGAACTTCACCTTAAAAATTGAAATTCTGGCCAGGCGCGGTGGCTCACCCCTGTAATCCTAGCTCTCTGGGAGGCCGAGGCGGGCGGATTGCTCGAAGTCAGGAGTTCGAAACCAGCCTGAGCAAGAGCAAGACCCCGTCTCTACTATAAATAGAAAGAAATTAATCGGCCAACTAATATATACAAAAAATTAGCCGGGCATGGTGGCGAATGCCTGTAGTCCCAGCTACTTGGGAGGCTGAGGCAGGAGGATTGCTTGAGCCAGGAGTTTGAGGTTGCTGTGAGCTAGGCTGACGCCACGGCACTCACTCTAGCCTGGGCAACAAAGCGAGACTCTGTCTCAAAAAAAAAAAAAAATTGAAATTCTTAGCTTATTTGATAAGTTATTAACAGAGTGCTCTCATATCACCATAGGGTGTATTTCCTCCTTTTGCCCCAGATGACTTCCTTTCAGTCTAGTTACCAAGTGCTCTTGTTTGCATAGGTAGGCCAAGACTCCCACTGGACTGTCACTCTAGTTTTCAAATTTACCATTAGTCTTACCATTCGTTTGAAAAGGCACATTTGTGAAAGTGCTGTGGAAATCCTCGTTGAGTGCTCTCCTGAGTACGTTCAAAGTGATGTGAGAGAGGCTTGTGTACAAGTAACTGTCAACAGCCAAAACCACCGAATAGGAGCCCACGACTCCACAGGTCAGTATGCTCAGCTGTGGAAGAGTGAAAGCGTTTAGGCGTCATCCCGGGTAGAACAAGTATAGTTTCTAACTCTTGTCACGCCTCAATCACAGGGAAGCACTTCTGCTCCCTCGGGGCACATGAAAAGAGACCAGACCAAGCGTTGGAGCTGAATAAACATTACCAGTTATCTTTCAATAACCTGAAAACAGCCTTTGACATCCACAGTGAGTTCTTAAAACACAGTTTAGCTTATCCAAATATTATGGAAAATGTCTTCCAAGTGAAGGAACTTCAATACCAACATCTAATCAGAGGAAGAAATGTTCTTCTGGAGAGACAGCTGGAAGTAATGACCCATCAGGTCATTACACTACCTTGTCTACTCCCACTGTTAAAAGCTTATCTATAGTGATGTTCCATTTGATGAAAAATCTGTAATAATCATAAATAGAACTTTCTTTGCTTTCATAGTAACAAGGCTATTTAGAAGCAGTCATTGGATACAGAAAAATCATACAGCCCTCCCCAGGGAATAAAACATGTAAAGTGATGCAACAAGCGATCAGCTGAAGGCACAGACAGTAACAATGAATAAAACTAACTCTAATGAAACACTTACTATTCTTAGGCAGCCCACGAAAACTACTGGAATGAGGATAACTATACCAGAGAAAGCCACCCAAAACACACCATCATCACGAAAAACCTTTAAGTTTCCTGAAAAAAGCAAAGAGAAACCAAGAGTAAACAACAGGTTCACCAAGTTAAATTTCATTTCCTCAATATCTGACCACAGACATACACTGAAGGTTTAAAGCAACAACCAGTAAATATGTTGGCAACTAGAAATGAATTCTGATTTTCTTCATTTAACTGTCAATATAATCTTCTTTGAAGGATTAGAAGGTGGGGGTGGAGGGCAGGGAAATCAAGCAGGTAAATGCTCTGCACTTATTAAACAGGATAATTTAGAAGAGGCTGGAGTAGTCTAAGCTGTTCTATTCTATGACCCTGGGCCTCTGTTTCCTAACTCATAAAATGAGAAGATTGAGTTATATTGTCTCTAAGCTCTAAATCACCCTTTCCAGCTCTCAATGTCTATGATTTCATGATTTTGTATTGCAGAATAAAAAATACAAGTAAAAGGCATTCAGAGTTGAGGTATGAGCCGGATATAAGCAGCAAACCCATTTAATAGATTTTTACCATTAAAGCACACCCTGCCAAGCCACTGCACACTGTAAGATGTGACTTCCTAATGCATCAGGAAAGACAAGGACTAACCACTTATCTGCTCCTGCCAAACCCTTCTCCTTCTGCTAGATTCCAAAAACGCAGCATTATCTTAGGGCTGCAGTCTCCAACCCTGGGGCTGCGGAGTGATACTGGTCTGTGGCCTGTTAGGAACTTGGCCGAACAGCAGGAGGTGAGCAGTGGGTCAGTGGGAAGCTTCATCTGTATTTACAGCCACTCCCCACTGCCCCCATCACCACCTAAGTTCCACCTCCTGTCAGATCAGTGGTGGCATTAGGTTCTCATAGGAGCCCAAACCCTACTGTAAACTGTGCATGTGAGGGATCTAGGCTGCACACTCCTTATGAGAATCTAAAGCCTGATGGTCTGGGGTTGCACTGAGGCGGTGATGCTAGTGCTGGGGAGTGCCTGCAAATACAGATTATCATTCGCAGAGAGGTTGGACTGCACAGAGACCATAATAAATTAATTGCTTGCAGACTCATACCAAAACTCTATCAGTGAGTGGCAAATAACAATATAATAATAATAGAAATAAAGTGCACAATAAATGTAATGCGCTTGAATCATCCCAAAACCATCCCTCCCCCGCCAGTCCGTGGAAAAATTGTCTTCCATGAAACTGGTCCCTGGTGCCATAAAAGTTGGGGATCACTGCCTTGGTGTGACCCAGAATGAATATTTGAAAACTCCTCTTTATAAATTAAGTTTAGAAAACCAGAACATCAGCCTGACTACTGTTTACTACTGACATCAGCACTACCATCCCATCCATCTGTAAATGGCCCCACATTTCCAGACCCACATATCCTGGTCAGAGTGGGAGTCCCTTGGTGAGAAGATCAGACCTCAGGACCCCACATTCTCTGAAAGCCAATTGCAACATACTGCAGTGAGGTGAATGTATGGGTCATATTCTCCAGTTTAACTATACTAATCTTCACAAAATACCTACATGGCTTTAAAAAAAAGTCAAGAAATCTAGGGATCAAAAATAGTAGTTAGATGCATGCATGTGAAGAACGTACCCTTTCAGAGTATAAACTCTTTGCTGCCCACATAAAGTGAAATGGTAGTAATCTAATCAGATCTGAGAGGTCAACCAAATATCTTTCAAATTTTAATGCTTAAAAATACAGGCTGGGCGCGGTGGCTCACGCCTCTAATCCTAGCACTCTGGGAGGCCGAGGCGAGTGGATCCTTTGAGCTCAGGAGTTCGAGACCAGCCTGAGCATGAGTGAGACCCATCTCTACTAAAAATAGAAAGAAATTAACTGGACAACAAAAATATATAGAAAAAATTAGCTGGGCATGGTGGGCATCCCTGTAGTCCCAGCTACTCGGGAGGCTGAGGCAGAAGGATCGCTTGAGCCCAGGAGTTTGAGATTGCTGTGAGCTGTGCTGATGCCACAGCACTCTAGCCGAGGTAACAGAGTGAGACTCTGTCTCAAAAAAAAATTAAAAACTATATATATAAATGTGTTTGTACCCCCTAGCATTAAGGAGATGATCACTCTGTCCCTGAGCAATGAGAAAGTTTATAAATAAACAGATAGAAAAGGTTTACACTAAAATTATTTTTACCAATGGGAGTAGTTTGTCAAAAAGTATTCAACTGCTATAGATGATGAAAGAAAGCTTCAGTCCCTTGTTCAAGGTTATAAGCTAGCAGGGACCCTAGTGACAGAATGCACATGTAGGTTTTTTTTCCTAACTTCATAACTTAGGCTCATTCTACTCATCAAAAGCACATTAACTACTTAGAAATTCTAATTTATGATCCCTCCATCCTCTAAGCATTAACAATAAAGGGGGAAGTCCATTAAGTTGATGTAGCACATCTAGAGTAGAGCCTTGAATTTGTATTTTCAACAAACACCCTGCATGTGAATCTGTCATTTGGCCAAGTCTAAACAACACTACTTTTCATCAGACTGAAAGGCTATTGCAAGGGAGTCAGGAGGAATATACTTGGCCATAGGTCTGCCAAAGTCATAAAAAAGGGCCTCAGACAGTCAGTGAACACAGGTTGTCAATTCTCTCAGGTCTTAAAAACAAACAAACAAAAACCAAACATCTTTAGAGAGCCAAAGGACACATGAATTGCACTCTATTATATCCCACATTCTCAAGAGCTGACAGCTTCATGAGACAGCTGTTTTTATATCTAACGTTTCCATCAACTTTAACCCAATATTGTAATATAAGAACCAAACATATCACAGAGAGTAAACAGCCTAATAGAGTATGGTGGAATGTAAATACTCTTCCCCCTACACACACACCCTTTTTGACAATTGTTAAGTTATAGTACAATGGTAAAGCAAGTTAACTTACAAGTTAAACAGATTTTAAAAACTGATAGCAATTGAATTACTTCAAAACAACAAAAAACCCTACAACCATCTCTGTGCTACTGCCCTGGGGGAATTACGTAGCTCAGAAACATGTGGGGTTGGACAAAGGGTGGGAGTGGAGGATGAGGGAATAAGAGAAGATTGGAAACAAAGCACCAGGGTCCCCAACTCAGCTGCCATCAGAGCAGGCCAAAGATACCGCTGAGATATACTGGGCTTTTGTTCAGGAGTCACTTTAAAAAAGAGCTCCTTTCTCAACCACTTATCTGATGAAAAAAAATAAATAAATAAAAAAAATAAAAAAATAAAAAAGAGCTCCAGGGTTTAAAAAAGAATGACCCCTGTTCTACCATATATTGAGTCCCCTTTTTCTCCATTAATTATAAGGAAAACACACACCCCTTATGACAAATAGATACAAAGCTACCTTGAAAGACAGTCTATAATTCATCTAGCACAGTGAGCCTTTGAAGAAGGGGGATTCTCCTTTGTGTTGGCCCTGTCTAAAAGTGCCACAGCATCAGTGCAGATTTCCAGAACTCCCCAGGAGAAGTGGTGGTATACAACCCAGGATCCAAATCCAACGAGGCGATAAAGTCTTTCAAACAACGACTCGAACACCCAAAACATCAGTTACACATCTCCTACCCAGTGGAGTGAAGAAAGTCACTGATGAGATGAGGAACCCCAGCACTAGTCCAATACACAGCATGCACAGCGTGAGGATTCCAAATCGCCACCACACAGCTACCAAGAAAATTCCACCAATGCTTCCAGTGATGGCTGTCAGAATCAGACGCACTGTACAAAGGGAGAAAACGAACATTTCCAACTGTGTGCTTTAGACACACAATACCATTTGCAGTGCAGCCTTAGCCTTCCTGAAGGTCAGGCAGGGAGGGCTCCTTAGTGATGCCATGAAGCTGGCATGCAGTGGCCCTCTCTAGGGAGGGGGCTGGGCTGAGATGTGGAAACTAGCCAGGGAGCTAAGCTAAACCTCAAAGGATCAGCGACAGTCTTGGCTTGTCAATAAATTGGGACTGAGGAAGAAAAGATGACAAGCATTCTGTTAAATGTGACAGGGCTGGGGGAGTTGTTTTCAAGGTAAAGAAAATCTTAATATTTGGGCCTGGCTTGGTGGCTCACGCCTGTAATCCTAGCACTCTGAGAGGCTGAGGTGGGAGGATTGCTCAAGGTCAGGAGTTCAAAACCAGCCTGAGCAAGACCCCATCTCTACTAAAAATAGAAACATAGAAAATAGAAAAATAAAAAATAAAATAGAAAAATAAAAAATAGAAAAATAGAAAGAAATTAATTGACCAACTAAAAATATATATACAAAAAATTAGCCGGGCATGGTGGCGCATGCTTGTAGTCCCAGCTACTTGGGAGGCTGAGGGCAGGAGGATCGCTTGAGCCCAGGAGATTGAGGTTGCTGATGCCAGGGCACTCACTCTAGCCTGGGCAACAAAGTGAGACTCTGTCTCAAAAAAAGAAAGAAAATCTTAATATTTGATTGCTGTACATCTCAGGTCTTCTATATATCACATAGCCAGAATACATGTTTGTAACCAACATGGCCCTTCATTTCCTTAAGTACCAAGTAATTCACCATGCAGATTAAAAGCCCAGAATAGGAGGTCAGAATGAGTTAGAAAAGATATTTAGAGCATAGGACACCCATTATTTTGCATACATAATAGGATATCACACACAATACAGGTCAAACGGGAAGGAAAGGTGGAGTGTAAACATCATCTTCCTTTTTAACATCCAATTAAACTATATAATTTTCACTTACCATCATACTTAATGGGTGTCAGTCTTGTAATCAGTATATAAAAGAAGAATCCCAAGAAGATAAATCCTATGAAGAATAATTCTAAGTAGCAAACCACCAGAAAAGGAAAAAAGCAAAACAAGATATGGTCAGGCACCCTTTTTACAATGCAATTTAAGTATCTAATCTACAAGTACATGCATCAGCTCCTAAAATTTATGCATTATGGCATTTGGAGAAGAAAAATAATTATCTAAAGGCAAAAGACATTTAGAAGTCATTGGGAATAATTATTATTAGATAGACACAATATTAAAGTATTAACTATAGGATATACTTATTGTATATAGGTCAGTTTCAATTATTAAATTGTTACTGTTAATTTCACAGCTCAGTTTAATATATTTATATTTTGTACTTAAAACAAGAATAGGACGTCTGTCACTTGTGTTTGATCTGGAATTATAAACTAAATTTCAAGAGTTACATAAACAAAAATGAAATTAGAAAGGCAAAAAACAAAAAACAAAAAATAAAGTATTCTAAAGCAAAATGTGACATTTATATTTTCTTTTAATTCATCCTTTCCTATTTAGAATGAATAATCAATCATTATCTTCATCCACTAAAATACTTGGTAATGCAAGCATACAGATAATTTTGTTCCCACAAATAAGCCTAATTCTGATTATGGAGGACATAGCTCTACCTATTTTCTTATGTTCTCCTCAGTTGTTATTCATAGTATTTGTACTGTATCTCAATTTCGATATATATAAAATGATATATATCTACATGAAAAAAAAAAACCTGAGATCTGAGTGTGGTGGCTGGAGCCTGTAGTCCCAGCTACTCAGGAGGCTGAAACAGAAGGATCACTTGAGCCCAAGAGCTCAAAGCTACAATGTGTTATGACTGCACCTGTGAACAGCCACTGAACTCCAGCCTAGGCAACATAGCAAGAACTGGTCTCAAAAATAAATAAATAAATAGAAACTGGCAATATCTTTGGGACCTTACTCACAACTTAGCAATTAAATTCTTTGTTATAGAATCATTCTAAATTTTGACAGCTAGATATAGTGGCTCACACCTGTAATCCTAGCACTTTGGGACGCCAAGAGGAAAGATCACTTGAGGCCAAGAGTTTGAGACCACCCTGGGCAAAAGTGAGACCTCCTTTCTACAAAAAAAACAAACAAAAAAAATTAACCAGGCATGAAGATGCCTGCATGTAGTCCCAGCTACTTGGGAGGCTGAGGCAGCAAGATAACTTAAGCCCATGAGTTTGAGGTTGCAGTGAACTATGATGACATACATCAGTGCACTACAGCTCATGCAACAGAGTGAGACACTATCTCAAAAAAAAAAAAAAAAAGAATCATTCTATACTTTAAGGTATTAAATATTCTTCACAATACTGTCTTCCCAATTAATCAAGAAAAAAGTGTCATAATAGAGGAAAAGGAGTTTCTGTTTCAAACAATTTATTAACACACGTTCAAAGAGCTTTATTAGATCAGGATTATATTTACCCTTGATGATCAGTTATTGATTATTATTGATTAAATAAGCATTTTTTCTTTTTTTAGGAATTGAAAACATAAGTTATATAAAAGGCAGCTCTAGGAATTCAAACCAATTTAGTGGTAATGATTTATATTCTGCTCTCCCACTATGTTTCACTGATGTGAGTTCTAGAGTTCCCGTTGGCATCTGAACCTCCCAGGTCTGAGCAGACATGTCGACCTCAACATAACACTGCAGCCCTGTGGCCTGATTTGTATGAAACCAAGTCAATCACCAGCACCCAAATCCACACCTATTTTTACACAGACACCCCGATTTCCAGTCTCAGTTGTCTTCAGTCAACTAGCAATTGAAGAAGACAACTGTACAAACCAAATTTTATTCCCCTCTTAATAAGAGGCAGGCACTTCGCTGTTGAAAGAAAAGGAAAAAAATGCAGAGCAACTCAGTAGAATCGTTACTGAAAAAACCCAGCCACAAATGTATGAAGATAGCAGAGGTAAGGAAGAAGATAGCAGAGATAAGTGGGTGCTTACTCTCCTTACAGGTCATAAATTCCCCAGCAGCATTTAAAAGACGACAAGAAATGTAAACAGCAACTATACCAGACATATTACCTGTTTTCCAGAATCTGTGTCCAAAGAAACAAATGAAGAAACCAAGCAGGGCAAAAAGAGTGAAGAACACTTTGGTAGATACTCTTCCTAAAAAATAATGAAAATTTAGTGGATAATACATCCAACTTGATACTTCGTATTGAATTAGTAGACCAGCGTTTATGAAAAAAGCAAAGTGAACTGACAATGACTTATTCATATAATATACATGACATACATGTATATTATAAATTTATCTTAAAAATATCCTTGCCACTGCTGGTGAATGAATCCATGCAGGCAACAAAAATCAACAGCAGCTACTGCTATAACAAAAAGAGGCAATGCATGCTTGCTGACAGAGATATGTAACACTTCCTATGACATAGTCTTGCAGGGAAGGGAGAGGAGCAGAGATTTGAAACAAATAATTCTGTTTCTTCAAAAAATAAACTGCAAGGGAAAAAAGGGTGGAGGATATGGATCAAAACATATTTAAAACATACAACTAAATACAATGTATAGACATTTGAAACATTACTCAAACAAATTGTGGAAAACAATTGAGATGACTGGAGAAAAATAAACTCTGGCTATTAAGGAATTATCTTTGATATTTTTAATTGAAAATTGAGTTAAGGATACTGTGGTTCTATTCGTTTTAAATAACACTTTAGTTTAAGTGTTATTAATATATACATACTGAAATACTTCAGTAAAATAATGACCAGGGATTTGCTTTAAAATAATCCAGTGATAAAAAAAAAGGGTGGAAAGGCAGAGAAGCAGATAGGAGTGTAGCTGAAACATGATCATGGCCATGAACCAAAACTGTTAAGCCTGGATAATTGGTATATGGAGGTTCATTGGAGTTTCACAATAAAATAAATTTTTTATTAACCAAAACTCACATAAAAATAAAGAACATATATTACACTTATAAATCACATATATACAAATTGCTGCCAATCTTATCAATTATACATATTGCTTTGGGGAAAATGTTGCATTATAACCAACAATAAAACACAATATGCTTCATGATGTCAATGAATCCCTAATCCTACTTAAATACAAGTACCATCACATTTGGCCGGGTGCGGTAGCTCATGCGCTTAATCCTACATCCGGAGGCCGAGGCGGCGGATTGCTCAAGGTCAGGAGTCGTAAACCAGCCTGAGCAAGAGCGAGACCCCATCTCTACTATAAATATAAAGAAATTAATTGGCCAACTAATATATATAGAAAAAATTAGCCAGGCGTGGTAGCGCATGCCTGTAGTCCCAGCTACTAGGGAGGCTGAGGCAGGAGGATTGCTTGAACCCAGGAGTCTGAGGTTGCTATGAGCTAGGCTGACGCCATAGCACTCACTCTAGCCTGGGCAACAAAGCGAGACTCTGTCTCAAAACAAAAACAAACAAACAAAAAAACAAGTACCATCACATTTAATATTTAATACAAATGTACAGCTTATTAAAGAGAAAAACATGCTTACTAAATTTACCACCCTCTTGACTCCTTCAAGATAAACAAAAGAAAATAATCCCTGATTTAAAATAAAGAAGTCTGGTTAGTGTGGCGATCTATGTGAAAAATGTTGCAAACCTGCCACAAATCAAAACACATTGAAATATTTAAGAGCTCAGATGGAGATACCATGAACACATACACCTAAATAAAAAACAAGAGATGGAAGACCAGAATTTGCAGGGTATAATATATACCTACAAATCAGCCTTTCTGAGAATGAGGAACCCAAAAGATTAAACAAAAGATAAAAACACCACATTCTGTTTATTTCAGACCTGTGGTTGACTGCTGTTCTAGGATTTAATTTTTACACCAAAAACATTAAGTTCACAGGGATGATTTCTTCAAATGAAAATCTGGTAGAAGTTTTCAACAAGTACAAGCACCAAGGTAGCAAGGTCTTCCAACCCAATAAAAATTGACACACACAGTTAGATATTCTTCCATGACAACAGAAGAAACTAAATAGAATCTCTTATCACAGCACCAAGAAGGCAGGCAGAGAAGGTAGAGAAGGAACAGAAGGAGGTGGAGAAAAAATTATACAAGTAAAATCAGAGGCCGGGTGCAGTAGCTCACGCCTGTAATCCCAGCACTTTGGGAGGCCAAGGAAGGAGGACTGCTTGAGCCTAGAAATTCGAGACCAGCCTGGGCAACACAGCAGGACCCCGCTTCTACAAAAATTTTTTTTTAAAAAGATTAGGCAGAGCGTGGTGGCACACATGTAGGCCCAGCTACTTGGGAAGCTGAGGAGGGGGGACTGCTTAAGCCCAGGAGTTCAAGGTTATAATGAGCTGTGATTACACCACTGCATTCCAGCCTGGGTGCCAGAGCATGACACTGTCTCTAAAAAACAACAATAAGTAAAATCAGAGAATAGGGAAGGTTCCATAAAAAGTAGAATCTAGAGATACTGTAACACAAGAGACAGAATAGGCAGTCACTTTTGGGGCAATGAAGAGCGAATGGAATAAGACAAGAGAAAGCCAAAGTTTAGAGTGCTTTAACCATCACAGTAACAACTACGGTTATGATACACAGCCAAGGTTTTGTTCAAAGCAAGGTGGATAATATCCTCCCTCCTCCAAGCTCAGGAAAATCACTCTGGTACTCCCTGAACTTGAACATGAAGAGTAACAATAGGTCTGATAGCACTAGGAGTTCACTTTGGGCAGAGAACAACTGGATCAGAGATCTCCATCTCCTCACCAGGGCAGGGACCTTTCTGATTAGAAGGGGCTCTAGCGTGAAGGGTTCAGGAAGAAACGGAGGAACCCGACATGAGTCAGTCCATCAGTTAAAAACACAGACTTAATCCTGCCTAGGTCACTTGCATAGTATCTCTCAGGATCTTGAGTGTGGGATAGCACGAAAAACTGGGCAAGTTGCAAAGAGTATGCCTTAGCAAACTTTAAGCCAGGCTGCTCTCTC